GTGTACACCTGCCAGGTGGGCCGGGGCCGCGGGCGGGCCGCGCCGGGCGGGGGTGAACGGCCCTTCCCGCGGGAAAGGCCCCGGGCCGGGCCCCGGAGCGTGCGAGCGCCAAGCGACGCGGCGTCGTAACGCGATGGAGCTGCGCGGTGGTTGGAGATGGGGGAGGGGGAAGGAGACTCTTTAATCAGGTAAATAAAATATTTTCTCTTAAAAGATGCAGAAGCCGCAGTTACCGCGGTCGTAAACTTTTTTGCAGCGGTGTGTGGTGACAGGGCATGGGGCAACGGCTTTAAACTGAAAGAGGGGAGATTTCGATGGGATCTAAGGAAGAAATTCTTCCCTCTGAGGGTGCTGAGGCACTGGCGCAGGTTGCCCAGAGAAGCTGTGGCTGGCCCATCCCGTGCCAGGCCAGGCTGGGTGGGGCTTTGGGCAACCTGGTGTAGTGGAAGGTGTCCCTGCCCATGGCAGGGGGGCTGGAACTGGAGGGTCTTTGAGGTCCCTTCCAACCCAAACCCTTCCCTGATTCTATAAAATCCATTTTGTTTGCTTTGTAGGTCTGCCAGACCCGATCAGCAAAAACAATCTCCAAGTTAGCCTACCATAACGGGGTGGTGATAGTGAAGTGTCCCGGCTGCGGGAATCACCACGTCATAGCGGATAACCTGGGGTGGTTTTCAGACCTGGAAGGAAAGAGGTGGGTGTGCCAGCAGGAGGGGAAGGGACTGCTGAGTTGTAACTGGACCATCTTGAGCTGATACTTCATTTCTTTGATGCTTTTTGATATGTGGTTCAGAGAAAAACAGAGTTTTTGCTGGGTGTAATTCCGTTTCATCCAGTTTCTTAAAGCACACAGACTGAGCTTTGTAGTCTGTAATTTGACCGTCGTTACCTGGGATCCACATAAACGGTGTAAAGCTGCAACAGAAGCCGTGTGACACACAGGTGTCCTTGTTGGTGCCAGCAGGTGAATTCCTGCCTGTGGAGTTCCTCTGTTCTCCCTCAAGCTCCATCAGATCCCTGCTAGGTTTCCCTGGCTCGGCGTTTCTAACATGTAGACCTATCTGCTGCTGAGTTGCAATGATTTCTGACTCCCTGAGATGATTAAAAAATTTCTGTTGGGCTGTACTTGCTAAATTATTGATCCTAATGGGTGAAAATAGCGCCAGAAGATTTGAGTGGTTTTATCTGCTTCCCAAACTCTTGAGGGAGGAATGCCATGGTAATGCTCATGTGTGGTCTGCTGCATGGTGCTAATCCCGAGAGCAAAGCGGCAGAGCGCGAGCCGCGCGTGACTCGCGTCCAGCCTTGGCTCTGGTGTCACTGGTGTTGGTTTTCAAATTGGTGTTAAGGAACATCGAGGAAATCCTGGCAGCCAGAGGGGAGAAGGTGAGACGTGTGGCTGGTGAGGAAGCTTTGGAGCTGCTTCTGGAAAACTCGGCAGATACCGGGTCTCAAGGTCAGCCCGCAGAGGGAGAAAGCGGGGAAGCCCCTCCGGAGACTGGCAGCAAGGGACAGACCTGACAACTGGGATTTGTGGTGTTCTGCTGATGGCAAGAGAGACTCTTAATCTTTATTCCCTGATTTCAAAGGGGAATTTCTGTGTTTAAAATAAACTCGGGAACCGGTCTGTCTTTGTTGTGTGTTTTTGTCTTGTGTAGTTTTGCCTTCGATCAAGCTAATGTTTTTAGAGATGGAACGTGGATACTTTTCCTAGTACTTGTTTTGCTGACTTTTAGGCAAGCCTCAGTGCTCCAGCAGTGTCAGGAGCCCCATTTTGTTCTTTGCTGAGATGTGAGCCAGGAATTCTTTGTCTGTGTGCTTTAGGGGAGGGAGGTGCAGCTGTGGCTGGAGGTTTTAGTGGTGTCTCCTGGCCTGGCCCAGATGTTGCTGGGCAGCAGCTGATTGCAGAACTGATGGATCAGGTGCATCCCGTGGCTGAGCAGCTGAGACAGGTGATACCACTTGAGGAGATGTGCCCTGACCCTGTGTCAGTTTGCAAAGCCAAAATGACCCTGCAGGAGGGTCAGACCACCAGCTCTTACTGCAGTCACGTGCTGCTTTTTTCTTTCCCTTACCATCTTCCAGAGTTTTGCTCCTGTGCCCCTGGCATCAGGGCTGAAAGTCTTCTGTGTTTGTGCGTTACCACGTCAGCATCAGCCCCCGCACTTGGGAATCCCACTTGAGGTGTGGAGTTGGTGAGTGGCTCCCCAGCACTGGGGTTATGCAACTTACTGGTTGGTGAGGAGGAGGGTGGGCATGAAGGCAAAATTAATGTTCGTGAAGCGTGTTGGAGATAAGTAGAGCTCCTAGAGGGCTGTCCTACAGTTACTTGACAGGTATCGAGGTGTTTATTAGTGCTACTGCTGCATGTTAAAATCAGTTAGAAGAAAAAATAGTAATTTGATAAGTGAAAAATGTAGGTGCTTACCAGCATATAACACTCAGGTAGCGATGAGTCAGGCAGAGAAGTGATCACATTGCGCTTTGTTAGAGCTCCCTTCTGCTGCCTGCGTGAAAGTGTAACTTCTCTCCATGTCTATTAGCTTGAAGTACAGTGAAGTATCTGCTTTCTTATGGTTTTAAATGTGCAATCAAAGAATAATTCAGGTTGGAAGAGACCTCTGGAGGTTTCTAGTCCAACCCTCTTGTTCAGAGGAAGATGTTCTGGGTATCTTGGGTATCTCTGAGGATGGAGATCCAACAACTTCTTTGGATCTATTCTGTTGTGAAAAAAAAACAACAGCCAACTGAAATTTCCTGTGTTTCAGCTTGCACCCATTACCTTCTTCCCAAACTTCTGAGGAGAGCCTCTGTTCTCTGCACCCTCCCATTAGTGAGTACAGAAAGCAGTAAAATCCCCTTAGCCTTGGTGTGTCCAGGTTGAACAAACCCAGTTCCTTCAGCCAAGCGTGTCCAGGCGCTCGTGGTCCTTCATCAGTCACGGATTCAGTGAAGGCATTGCATGAATTAATGAGTTTACTTCATTCATCTGAAGTGTTCATCCTAATTTTATACGTGTTGCATTATAAGGATGGATCAGGGTGCAGGAAAATGTCAGGTTTTCCTGTTGGTGTGTAACTTCAGAGTGATGAAATAGTGTTGAGGGGCAGGAGATTCCTCCATCAGCCGGCTTGTGCGTGTTCAGACCCCAGTGCAGCACAGCTCTGCGAGACAAGGAGCTGCTGGAGTGATCCACGTAGTAATTAAGGAGTCGTGCACCTGGGAACACTGCTGTGCGCTCACCCTGTTGTGAGTTGCAGGCACGTATTGGCGTTCTGCTGGAAGAGTGGTTATTTTCTTATCTTTTACCTGAAAACCAGCGTTCTGCTTCTGTTGTGCTGATGCCTTTGATGGGGTGGAACAGAGCAGCTGTTGCAGGATCTGCGTTGCCGTGGAAACAGTTAATTTACAACCTGACTTTTTTATACTGTTTTCCGTACCTTTCTTACCTGTTGCTGTGCCCCAGCTACAGAATGGTGCTGCTGGTTTTTGCTGCGTTGCAGTAAAAACTGTAGAAAGTCTGTCCGTGTTGGTCCTTGCTGGATTTTAGTGTTTCTTCAGCCCAGTGTCCTCGGGCACGACGTGCTGTGGGGGCAGGACAGTGTTCCTGGTGCTGCAGCACCCAGATCTGAGGACGGAGGGTGGTGGTACTGGATTTCTGCTGCTGCTCTTGAAGGTTCAGGCCAACTTCATGGACAGAAGGAGGCAGCAGATTCCAGGGAGTGGGCAGATGTTCGGGGTGAGGTGCTGGTGTGGGACGCAGAGAGCTGGCTGCTCACCACGGCCTGTGCAAGGTCTGCAGCAGGCAGGGAGGGGTGTGCAGCCCCCAGGGACTCGTCAGCACCCAGCAGCACTGAGGCTGCAGGAAATGGGGCACTTCTCCTGACCAAACATTCTGGGGCTTTCAGCGGGAAGGGGAGAGGGTTGCAGTTAGGTGAGGGAGTTTGCACATCATAGCAGAGGTTTTGCTGCTAATAGATTAAAAAGGAATTTTGTGCTCCTTTTTCAAGGCGTGTTTTTTTTTCTGAAAAGTGTTGTGTCCCAGGGAAGTGTGTCTGTTCTTGAAAGAGGCCACAGGTGAGCACGCTTGGCCTAGGAGGAGCCCAGCAGACCTGGCTTTAGCCGAAGACCAGGGAGAAGAGAAGCAGCCTTTCTCCTGAGCTGGAGGTGCATCAAGGTGGGAAAAAACCGCCACCAAGGCGCGGTGCAGCGGAGCTGAAGGTGCAGCTGACCAGGGTGAGTCGTTGTGGCAGTTCCAAGGGGGGCAAAGCAGCGTTCACAGGACAAACGTAACGCCGTTTGCACGTTCCTTGGAGCATTTCACTGTGGCTCTTTGGGGCTGAAGCCTGTTCCTGACTCCTGTCCCGTGAGCTTTTCTGCAAAACGGCAGATACTTTGCCTCTTGCTTTCTGCCTCTTTGAACAAATCCTCCTTTTGTAGGGCAGCCAAATTCCAGAGGTAATCAGGATGGCATGGGACTCTGATGGATCATGTCTGTTAGCTGCAGGGATTTCTGGTGAATCAGGAGGACGGCAGCGGCGTTTGGTGAAGGTGGTTGAGAGGGGGGCCCTGTGGGGCTGGGAAGCTGGTGGTGGGACTTGCCGAGGGCAGAACCTGGCACAGGCCCAGATGAGGGAGGCTGGGGGTGCAGAAGCTCGTTTGCTGGGGCAAAACAAGCCCCCTGACACAGCCCCCTGCTGCTTTGTGCTACTGGTGAGCATGAATGTGGTGGGTGCTCTGGATGGGACCGTGCCTTTGGCTGCCTTAGGCAGAGATGGTGGTTCTAAACTCTGCCATACTTGGGAGTGTGGTGGAGGGCTCAGCCGTGCTGGGGAGCCTCTTGGGAGCCTCGCCGGGAGTCGCTTGCCGCACTGAAGAGGTGATTGGGCAGGAATGGTTCTTTTCTTGTAGCATTGGTGCAGGCAGTGAGGAATGGGGCTGGGGGCTGTGAAGTGAATCACTGCTTGTTTCTGCTGCTTGTATAGGGTCTAACGTAGGTGGGTTCTGGGCCTCCAGGTCCTACTGTAGTGTAGGCAGAGAGGCACCGTGAGGCTAAGTGAGCACTCTGCTCAAAACCCTGCGTGCCTGTGTCTATGCTGTGTCCCAGAGATGGCCCTGCCTTACTGCAAAGCTGTGCAGTTCACCGTGGCTGTGTCCTGGCCTCATGGGGTCCCAGGCGATTGCTATGAAGAGCTGCTGAAAGCTGTCCAGCTCCAGACTGACATCTACAGTGCTTGGGGGCTCTGGGCCAGCGTATCCCTTCCTGCAGGCTGAGCACCTTTCCAGCCCAGTGAAGATCAGTGATGGCTGGAGCAGTAACAGCACGAGGCTCTGGGGAGCGGTGAGGTAAGTGCTGGGACTCAGCCCTGCCGTGACGTGGCAGATGAGCCATGCAAAAACCCCCACAGGCCTGACATCAGCCCTGTCTGGCAAGTGCCTCTCAGGGCATGTGCACAGCTGAGGAGGAGAGATCAGTATCATGCACTTCTGCTGGTTTCTTAGAATTCCTCTTCGCCTGCAGCCCTGCAGTGGGGACAGCACCCTGCTCCGTAGGAACCTGCACTTTGGAGCTGCAGGAGCAGCGCTCCACAACCCAAAGCCGAACGGCCAGTCAGCCTGGGCGATCTCGTGTCTGTCCAGCGCGTGTACGCATCGCAGAGCTCTTCACTAGGTGGGACCAGGCTCTGGGGGCTGCGTGGGAGAGGGGAGGGCTGGTGCTGGACACTGGTGTGCTGCTGTCTCTGCTACTGCAGGGCATGGCAGAGCAGCAGCCAGTGCAGACCGTGAGCAGCTCTGGCGATGCACTTGTAGCCGTTACCTCCTGCTCACAGGGGCTCTCTTTGTGTTTGGTAGGTGCTCTGAGAGAGAGAACATGTCCTGCAGAGCATGTGCTCCCTTCCCCAGCTGCTAAGGACAGAGAGACCACAGGTGAGACCCCATCACTCACAGGGATTTCACCTGTTCCAGGGAATCCAAGCCTCTGTGCTTTGTGTACCTGGGGGCACACAGAGGCTTCTACCACAGCGCGTCTCATGTCCAGACACTGGGAGGTGTGAGAATGCCTGATGAGAATGAGCTGGTGGCTCTTCATTAATCTTTGATCAGGACTGGCAGTGGCCAGCATGAATTAGCCAGGCATGGGAAGACCAGCTGTGACTTGGCTTTATCCTCACAGGGTTCAGGATCCAAAAGCTGCTGCTCTCAGGCTCACTTTCCAGCAAAGTCTAATGGCCTGCTCACGCCTGCTGTGTTGGAATGAGCTGGCACTGCTGCCCGCTGCTTTGTGAGTATCTTCACTACGGGCTGATGCCAGGGCTTTGCGCAGCACTTGCTGCCCTTTTCCTCTGGTAGCTGCCACTGGGGACGCAGGACACAGCTTTTGGGCCAGGTGCTGAGAAGGCACCGAGACAGGGCTGAGCTGGAGCCCCCAGGCAAAAGGGAGGTGTAGGTGGGTGCACATACCCTTTTCTCAACGCTTACACATGGTGATGTCTGCCCCAAGACACCACCACCCACCCCCAGCCCCATTTCAAAGGGCCAGTACTGGCTCTGCTGTCAGCAGAGCAGGCAGGCTGGCCCAGAAATAATGGAGATGAATTTTTGTCACTGAAGCTTAGACACAAATATTTATTAAGCACAACCCCCCCCTTCCCCTTGAGCTGTGTTCACTTCTAATATATTAATTCATTTGGCAGATTATTTTTTAGAAAAAAAAGTACCTGTGGGTTGGAAATTCCCCATTAAAATGACATTAGCAAATGCACATGTAAAAATAAATAAGCTCATACATTCAAGTATATGGCAAATAATTAACACCTCGGAAAGCTTAACGGTCAAATTCCAGTTCACCACCTGGCTGAGAGCTGCACAGGCCCAAGCCTGCTGCTGGTCAAGTCATCTTCGATGGTTTCCTCCTCCTCACAAACGCGAGCTGGGTCAGTACGTAGGTGGCTGGGCGGGTTCTCCTGGCCCGTCTCGGAGCTCCGACCAGCCCCGGGAGGGCGGCCGAGCCTCGGCTGGGCAG